AATGAGATAAACCAAGAATAAAACTGGAAGACTGGGGAAAAAAAGTATTTTTGCCTACAATTCACAAGGATAAAACAAACGTTACAAAATTCTGCAAAGTATTCTCATCGATTAAAGACTGTTGGGAATGACAAAGGTTACCTCTCTGCCTCCCACCACCAGCCTCTCAGCTCAGCTCCTTCTCCCTCCTGGTGAATTCTCAGCTTTCTCTGTGACAACAGTGCTAATCCAGTTACCCTTCTGATCCTCCTAAGGACAGTGAGGTTGTTTCTGGGCACCCCAGGGGCCACAGGGACCGTGTGCAGTGAAATGATGGCCGAGTTCAGGAGGATTTGTTCCAGTCAGATGTGGAAATGGATTTTTCTATTCTGGGTGCAGAGGCACAGAGATAAGGGCTCCATCAAGCACTGTGCTGCACAAAGGTTTTTATTCTCATCACGTAGAGATTGGAGCTGCAGGACTAGAAAGGGCCGCAGTGATTTCAGCAGTGTTGTGCAATGCCTCTCACCAGCAAATGTTTGATCACGGAGAAGGGTGTAAGAGCTGCAGGGAGCCCACCCTGCTGAGAGCTCGTGTGCACACGTCAGAGAGCAGATACTGAGAGGCATATGCATGCGATGTGTTTGCGTGCATGCAAATGAGTATTTACGTGGCTGCACGTGTGGGTATGTGTGAATGCGTGCATATATATTCATGTCTGTGGGTGCTTTAATCCATACATTGTCTTCGAGTGTATGAGACAAAACTTGGATGAATTCGTGTCCAAGCACAATTTTGCAATCCTAACTGTGGCAGAGGGCAGCTTTGGACCCATTAACGGAAAAGGCAGGAAATGGTGCTAAGGGGAAGAAGTCCTGCAGCAAGGCAAAGGGGTGAGTTTCCAGGCTGTTACCAGTGCAGCCCATACTTTAATGTAACTGGAAGCTGTTGTTAGGGAGCCAGTGTATTTGTAATCAGCAGGGTAATGCAGTGGCTCAGCTCAGCTCAGGCAAGCACAGTACTGTCCACTTTCTGCTTCAGCTGCTACGCAGGACCCTGGAACAAGGGGGTGTGGGGAGGGGCCAGGAAGCAGTTACCAGTTGTTATAGGGGAAACAGGGGAAACAGGGAGATCAAGAAATGGAAATACCCCTGAAAAGAAGATGCTTCTGCATCTCCTGAGGATGCAACAGAGAACTAAAATGCTTTATCTGCTCGAACGAGTGGAAAATATGCAAATATTTGCTCATGAAAACTTGGTGTGCTTTGCCTTCCCAAGCATAAAATATGCAAACGTCACGCAGCACACAGCCGGCTCGCTCAGATCTCTCACTCAGTGCGTCATGCACAAGCACACACACTGGGATGTCAGCGCAGCCAGCTGTGGCATGTCCCTCTCTAACATGACAAAAGGGGACATGGAGGGAGGAAATATATATGCCTTGACTCATGTGTAGTGTGTGCACAACACAGACATTTCATCTGTGCCCTCTCATGGCTCTTCCAGCTGGCAGAGGAGAGCCCGGCACCCAGCCCTGCTGCCACTCACTGGGATGTCATCCCTAGCCACTTTCTGTGTGTCTTTTGGGGACACACAGTCCTGGGGCCCCAAGCTGAGCCCCCCAGAGATCTGTTACTGCGAAAGCATGGTGCTTTGCTGCATTGCTATGTTAAAAAGGCTGTGCCCTTGCCCTCTGCCTGGAGGCTGGAGTAATCACAGAATCACTGAATGGTAGGGTTGGAAGGAACCTCTGGAGATCGTCTGCCCAGGGAGTTGGTGGAATTGCCGTCCCTGGAGGTGTTCCAGAACCATGTGGATGTGGCACTGACGAACATGGTCAGTGGGCATGGTGGGGATGGGCTGACAGGTGGACAGGTGATCTTAGAGGTCTTTTCCAGCCTTAATGATTCTGTGATTCTCTAATCTAGTCCAATCCCCCTGCTAAAGCAGGTTCCCTACAGCAGGTTACACAGGAAAACATCCAGGCAGGTCTTGAATATCTCCAGAGAAGTAGACTCCCACCCATTAGATATTTATAAGCATTGATATGACACACCCTCAGCCTTGTACTTCCCCAGGCTGATCAGTCCCACGGCTCTCAGCCTTTCCTCATAAAGATGCTCCAGGCCCTTCATCATCTTGGTGACCCTCCACTGGGCTCTCTCTAGAAGTTCCCTGTCTTTCTTGATGTGGGGAACCCAGAACTGGACACAACACTCCAGATGTCTGCCTCAGCAGGGCAGAGGAGCAGGAGAGGATTCTCTCCATCTATGCTCTTTCTAAATGTACTCCACAATACAATTGGATTTCTTGGCCATAAGGGAACACTGTTGACTCACAGTCTTGTGATGGAGCAAATTACCAGAGAACATAGCAGGACTCTGCTGACCAGGTTTAAGACCAGTTCAGGACGTGGCTACTAAGCAATGGTGGGAACACTTAGTTTCAGACCCCTGGTGTCAGGCTGGTTCCATACCCATCTTAGGCAGGAGGGGTCCTAAGGAGCAGTCACAGAAGAAAACAAGTTGCAAGTACAGGTGAACAGCTCTCCTAACTGCTCCTCAGCCACGTGGCGTTTAAGCAACACACACACAAAGAAAAAAAAAAAAAAAAAAAAAAGACAGTGCAGCAGCTTTGGCAGGCCTTGATGTCTTTGTGAGGAAGCCCAGGCCGCCACGCTGACAGAGCAGCCCCAGCAGGAATCGCTGCTGGCAGAAGTGCCCTCACACGCTGCGGCTGCCTGCGTAAGGCCAAGGAACGTGTCACTGCTTTCTGAGCCAGGCCCTGCTTAAGCAGCAGCTATGAGTGAAATGCAGCCACGCAGATAGCTTCTAGCAAGCCTGAACATCCTCAGCCGTCCCTGCCAAAGGGTTTCATGCAGTGGTGGTGCTCCTGATGAGCAGGGATTGGCTGATTCACAAGCCCTCAGGCTAGGCAAGGTTTGTTTTCCCATCCCGCTCTGCAGTTAGGCTTGTGATGATCAGTGATCCAGAGAACACAGAAGCATGCTGATGTTATGGGGTGACTTGGGAGCACCCCAAAACACTGCAGCATGGAAATTCACTGTTACCTCTGTTACCAGTGATAGGACAAGGGGGAATGGTTTTAAACCAAGACAAGGGAGGTTTAGGTTAGATATAAGGAGGAAGTTTTTCACACAGAGGGTGGTGATGCACTGGAACAGGTTGGCCAAGGAGGCTGTGGGTGCCCCATCCCTGGAGGCATTCAAGGCCAGGCTGGATGTGGCTCTGGGCAGCCTGGTCTGGTGGTTGGTGACCCTGCACATAGCAGGGGGGTTGAAACTAGATGATCATTGTGGTCCTTTTCAACCCAGGCTGTTCCATGATTCTATGATTATCCTTCTGTACTGCAAGTTTCTCCTCCCAGTCTGCAGGCACTGAACATCACACCTCTGTCTGTGCCTCATTCTCCACTTTTGGAAAATGAGATGGATAACAGAGGAAGAGTCAGCGCAATGTTTCTTTCTGGGATCAATATGAGGGCCACCACCAGGGTTGAGCAGTGATGGAGAGGAGCTGAGCACAGAGCCACGCTGCTCACAGGTCCCGTGCTCTTGGAGCATGTGCTCTACATTCCCAAGGGCAGCAGAGGCAGTAGCCAGAAGCAGGAACTTTGCTTCCAGAAAGGATCAGCTGTTGAGCTGAGCAAAGCGTGAGGCGGGTGGAAGGAAGGAGGGAGAGAGCGCGAGCCAAGCCTGACACGGGGCAGCGTGGGGGGGAGGCACTCAC